AGCGAGAGCTAGGCTCGCCACACCAGACTCGGACTCCTCAGATGCTTCCTCGTCCTCATGTTCCTCAGATTCAGCCTCTGAGTCCATTTCCTTGCCAATGAATGCCCGAGCCTTCTTGGAGCTGCTCTTCTTGTGAGGTGAAAACTTTGAGGATTTTAATGATGAAGACTTTGAAGATTTCTTCTTCTTCTTTGCATCATCAAAACTGTAATCCTTGTATTTCTTCTTCTTTGATTCCTTATCCCACTAAGCACAATCTTGGACGTAATGATCAAGTTTCTTGCATTTGTGGCATAGCCTCTTCTTGTAGTCACTGGATGAGGAATCATTGCTCCTAGAGGATTTTCCAAAGCGACCACGTCTTGAGAACTTCTGAAATTTCTTCACAAGCAGTGATAGTTCCTGGCTCAGTTCTTCAGGGTCACCAAGGCTGCTAGCAGAGTCCTCATCTTCAGACTCAGAGACTGCCTTGGCCTTCAAAGTATGTGATCTGCCATAGCTTGAACCATAGAGATCTCTCTTCTCAGCAAGCTGGAACTCATGAGTGTTTAGCCTCTCGAGGATATCAATGGGATCAAGTGACTTGTAATCAGCACGTTCTTGAATCATCAGTGCCAGAGTATCAAATGAAGAATCGAGAAATCTCAGCAATTTCTTCATCACCTCATGGTCAATGATGTCAGTAATGCCAAGCGCTTGAAGCTCATTTGAGATGTCAGTGAGGCAATCGAAGGTTTGCTGGACATTTTCATTGTCGAGTCTTTTGAAGCGGTTGAAGAGATTTCGAAGAACGTCAACACTAGAGTCACGTTGAGTTGAGACTCCTTCATTTACTTTGGACAGCCTATCCCAGATAAGCTTAGCAGTTTCCAAAGCACTCACTCTTCCATACTGTCCTTTGCTCAGGTGGCCACATATGATATTCTTCGCTTGAGAATCGAGTTGCTTGAATCTTTTCACATCAGTAGCGTTCAGAGAAGGTGTGACAGAGGGAACACCATTTTCTACAACATACCAGAGATCGTTATCAATTGCCTCAAGATGCATTCGCATCTTATTATTCCAGTAGGGGTAGTACATTCCATCGAAGGTAGGACACCCAGCAGAGACATTGATCATACCTGCGGTCGACATAACTAAACTCCAGGTGGTTAAACCAAAATCACACAGAACAAGGGAGTACCTTGCTCTGATACCAATTGAAAGTGCGTTATATCAACTAGAGGGGGGTGAATAGGCGATTTTTATGGATTCTTCACTGAGGAATTTGCTAGTGAGGAAATTTCTAAATGAAGAACTACTAGCAGCGGAATAAGTACTCAAATGTAAACATAACAGAACATAAGCATGGCCATCATGATGGAACGAAGACAAGTACAGAGTACAGAAAGCGTAAACACAGGATAACACAAAAAGAAGACGGACAGACTGAATAAATTGAATTGAGGAAATTGAGAAAGTCTTCAGTCAATGTCTTCAAACAGACAAGCGTCGGATCCATGCAGGATCAATCTCTTCAGTGATGCTCAATCACTTTGGGTTTGTAGGTGTTGGGTTTGGGTATTCCTCACTTGATGATTTTCGCTCAAAGTCCTCGGAGGATGGGATACTCACAAATGACAAGTGTCAGTTTCTCTCGGAGCAGCCAACCAGCTAGTGGTTGTAGGGGGTGGCTATTTATAGCCTAGGGAACAGCCCGACATGATAAGACATAAATGCCCTTGTCAGATATGACCGTTAGGTGGGTAGATATTTTGGGACAGCTGGCGCATAGCACAACAACGATCGGAAATTTGACTCTCAAATTCCTCAGGGCTATCATGTTCCTCACTGTGTAGGCAATACGCACTGGCGAATTCCTAACTCCTCAGTCAGAACAAATTCCTCAGAGACCAGAAGAACTTCGTCTCTGTCACTGAAGAATATGACTGAACTGTATGAGATTTCCAATGGCTTCACTGGAAGAGATTGGTAGGTGTAAGATTTTGAGTTGAGCATCACATGGAAATTTTTCCTTAGTATTTTCTCGACCCCCTTTAACAGTACGGTGTTTCCTATGACTCAAGAAAGAGAAAATGAAACTATAAAAACAAAAGTCTTCACGCTTCATGTTCCTCGAATGATTGTCAAGTCTTCAAGGTTACACCAATTTCTTCATTTTCAAAGTCTTAAAAAAGTCTTCAGAAAACCAAAGTCTTCAGTCAAATAACTTCATTTTTAGGGGTCGACTTTCTTTGTAAATATCAAACTCCTCATAGGCTTATAGACCTGTGTACACTCACAAACACATCAGTCTCTTAACCTATAAGTCTTCAATACACCAAAATCACTAATGGGCACTAGATGCACTTACACTAAATCCACTAAAGTAAAACACAAATCATATGCTTGCATCAATACCCAAGAAAAACTATAAAAGTTAAAGTCTTAAATAGTGGAGATATGGGGGAAATTAGATACCGAGAAAGGCTTTTGCCCCGCTTTATAAATAAAGCAAATCACCGCAAGCATAACAAAGTTCACACAAGGCACACGCGCACACACAAAGTACCACAAGTAAGGTTCTGCTAAGGGCATCAGCTCAACAAGCCCAAGAAAGAAAGAAAAAACAGGGCACGAGTGATACTAAATATTTCAACAATAGAGAAAAATGGAGAAAATACTATATCAAGATTAAAGGAACATTGATTACTTCTCACTTAAACAAGTACAATAGGTCAATGATGGAGAAAGGCCTATAATTTTGGTTGCTACAATACTCACGAGGGAACTAGAAAACCTATAAATAAAAGAAAAACCTCAAGATTGGAATGCTATGTGCCCTATGGATTGCTACCAAATTAAAAAAAAACATGATTTTTCGCATAGATCTACTCCCTCCTTAAAGAAATATAATAGCGTTTAGATCACTATGAGGGAATATTATGGAAGGTTCACAAAATAAAGGAACTAAGAGCGGGAGTAGAGAGACATAGGAAAAAGGTGCATCAGAGTTCAGAATTGTACCTCATAAACCTCTCAGCAACAGCGAAATCTCTTTTTATCAGGTTATGTTATACAGCTTGGAAAATTGCGCGCACAACAGTTTGTTCCCTACCAAGTATATCTCACAAATCGCAAATGCAGGTTTGGATACAATCTCTAGCTGTTTGATTATATATCAAGTTTGTGTTGCTTGCCACACATACAAAAAAAAAGAGAATACAAAGCTTTGGTTTCCCAACAAACCGAAAACATACATGCCTTGAAATTTCACTTGAGAAAGTATGTTAGATTAAAGGCATCACCTTGTCAGTACGTCTGCACACACCAGCTTCAGATCACATAAATGCTAGTAGAATACTCAATCAAACTTGTGCTAACTTTAGATCACATAAATGCTATTATACTGGATCGATCAAACTTGTGCCCAAAACAAGACTGCTTTACGGAGCAAGGTAGAAGCCTTAGCTTAAATATATTGAAAGACTGAAACCGTCACAACGTCATGACAAAAGTAACATAAAACTGGAAGAACACAACCATTATCAGCGATGGAATCCTACACTCCGTTTAAGCTACTGGAGGTCGAGGCTGGAGAGGAGCTGAATAATTGTGTAAGGGCGAGAAACGCGAGATATTTCTTTAGAGACTCGCTCTTCTCTGCGGGACTTGAGGTTATACATGTAGATGTAATCACGAGAAAAATCATCGCTCTTTATGTAATAGATGCAGTTGGCGTCAATGGATGGGAATTTATCAGCATTAACAGACATGCACCTGCAATAACCACTGAGGAAGACGGCACGGTTGCCAATGTTTTCCACATGCTCAAATACATAACTCTCAGTGTCCATCTTGTAAACCTCCATGCCATCTTTTAGCTTCATGGTAGCATAGCGTCACCTCCCCTTCCGCTCCCCCCGCGTCGCCTCCTCTGAGGCGACTCGGGGGCCAACCCTAGCGCCGCCGCTGCGTTTCCCCCTCTCCTCCCCTTCCTCCGCCGCCGCCTGAGGGCCTCCGAGGCACGAGTGCTCGGCCCCAATGATGGTGGCGGCGGGATCTGACGCCTCCTCTCCGTTGGAGGGCCTTGGTTCCCCGGGGCGGCGGCCCCAACTGGTGGGCGCGGTGCAGTCGGCGGACTGCGCCGGCGGGCTCTGGTGGGCAGCCTCCCACGACCACGCGGGCAGCATGGGGGCTGCGGACGCTGGCGCAATGGCGGCTCCTCGCAATCCGTCATGGCTTCATGTAGAAGATCCGCCCCTGCTCCGATCTGTCCCGATCCGTGCTGGCGCCGGTCCTTGGCGGCTGCTTTTGGCGTCATTGCTGTCCTGGTAGATCTGGCGTGCGGGTGAGGTTCCGGGGAAAACCCCTAGCTGGCGCGGCGGTCTCCCCAAAGTCGACGCCTTTGGCGCCGATCCCCTTCCTGGAGGCTTTGGGGTGGATCCTCTCCCTTCCGCCGCCTCCTCAAGCTATCGCGAAAGCTTTTGTTCCCCTGTTCTGGGCGTCGACGGCACCCTGGCGTCGTGTTCCTTCTTGAAGGCAGCGGCTGGGAACAGCTCCTAGTGGCGGGGCTGCTGGTGGCGTGGTAGCGGTGCGACTTCGGCCTTCTACTTGGTGCTGCGCATTGCGTCACGGGACCAGCGGACGGTTTCTTTGGTGGAGCGGTGCTTCATCCATACATTGATGGCGACGGATCTTGACGGCGTGGCGCAGTGCAAATTCGGAGTTCGATGTGGGAGGATGGACTCGCGCAGGAGGACGACGATGTCGGGCGTCGTGGTGGCGTCGATGGCAGAGAGACCTGGCACGATAGATGGAACAGTACAGCTCTGAAGATGGACTCGTGGCAGGTGGCTACGGCGGCCTCAGACCCGGCAGGCGTCCTGGTTGAGTAGTGCACCGGACTGGTAGGTAATCCATACCAGGCAGGCGTCCTGGTTGGGACCTCAGGTCTTATATGTTTAGGTTTGGCTGCGATGTCTGTTTAGTATTAGGCCCACGCTATCAGCGCCCCTTCATCAATTGTATAGGTGTAGCGACAGTTGTTGCTTAGACGGTGGCTTTAGTCTTGCTGTTGTATGACTTTGTAAGATCTTGTGAGAATAATTAATAAAGTGGCCGTATGCATCGCCCAGATGCAGAGGCCGGGGGGCATCCTCCTTTTCTAAAAAAAAAATCTTAGACTCCATTAGGTAACAGCGGTTGTCATATCCTATCCAAAACTTCCATATGGATTCTTCCTCGAACATCATGGTATCTTCATCATCCGACTCAATGGGCTCAGCATTGAAAAACCTCATCGGATTAAAGATCCTCTTTGCCACGGCAAGCGGAAATGGTGCCACCGATCCCAACTCGCCGATAGTGTGGATACCTCTGACAGCCAGCCTGATCAAAGGGCAAGCATACCTGTCCTCAGACACGTCGTAAGATTCGCTATCAGGTTCAGCCATGTACACCCTACGAGGCGATTCGCGTAACCGGACATCATCATCATCAATGTACTTCCTGAATAACAAGATGATTGCGGGCGAAGAACCAGAGACAAGAGCAGCAGAGTCCACGAACTCGTCAGGTTGTGGCGCGGCGAAACGGACCAAGTAGCCCGTGAAAGAACTGAGGACACTGAAGCCGTGAGGGGATTTATCGTCCATCAAGACGAGGAGACCGTCCGGGGTGGTGCTGCCAATCAAATAGTCACGGAGCACCGGGAGCTCCTTGCGCAGGAACCGGCCGGTGGCGGTGTTCACCAGGAGGTGCGTGTTGCTTCAGGAGCTGCCGATGCTGACCCAGCGGGCCGGCCCTGAGGGGGGGCGGGGGGGCGGCCGCCCCGGGCCCCCGAGTAGGAAGGGGCCCCCGATTGATTTGGTTTCCCTGTATACGTGTGATTGTTTTGCCGGTTGATTGATTCTCCAAAAGGAAATAAAAAATAATTGATGGATTAGCACGCCGTGCAGTCTTCTCGTCTTAATACTCTTCCTCCCCAATTGGCAACAAATCAGCCATGCCATGAATGACGGCGCCCCTCCCACTCGTCTAATTGTAATTTTTGGCTGCTAGGCGCCATTAGTGAAAGAAGGTAATGTGGTTTCCAGATTCCCATCAATCTTCTCTTCAATGCAAATTTTTTCTTTCTATTCTTGTTGGATCGTTCGTTTCCTGAAGATTATCCTCGTGCGACTCTCTTTGTTATACTCCAGTTTCTTGTATTGATTGGGATTAGAAAACAGAAACTTGGACTTCTGTTCGTGACGCAACAGCAAAATTTTGCGATTTCAATTTTTCTAGCCATCCAGGTACCTTGTTCCATGCCTTTCTTAGCACTTTTATTTAATTAGCAGTACTCTTAATTTCTTGTATCATATGTTGTGTGCTGATTAGCAAGATTGCCATTCATTTAGCAAGATGCTATCCAGAAAAAATCCATCTGATAATTGAGGAAAAACATGCATATGAGTTAATTGAATCCCACATGAGTTGTTCGCATTTTAAGATACAAGTGCTCTACGGATTCCCTGCAAAAATAAACAATATTTCTACTGCTAGGAACTCCAAGGAGTTAGCTTTAGTTGTTGTTCAAGAGCAACTAGTGAAAACTATAGGAAGATAAAAAAATTTAGTAGGCATGATAGTGCTATTATAATTCACCTAATAATACAAATATATACAGTATAAGGGTGGATTGACAAGATCCACTTTTACTGTGAATGTTTATGACCCCAGTTTCTTAATAGTCAAGAAGACAAGGCACCATAAATTATAGTCTGCCAAATATTTATTGGCAATTGAAATAGACATAAAATATGCACATGTTTATGTGGCTTTAGGGCCCCTTCGTGTTGTCTCGCCCCGGGCCCCGGAAATCCCAGGACCGGCCCTAGGGTGGAAGCGAGGGTCCGGGGTGCCCTTCGGGTCGTCGGTGGCGGCGCGCCAGCTATGGCAGACGGCGCGGAGGTCCATGTAGTAGTCAAGGTCGCCAGTGGCCAGGAAGTCGCCGGCGATGCGGCAATGTTGGCAGCAAATACAGAAACCAAAATGGTGGAGGGAGTCAGTGGGGGTAATACTGATAGCAGTAGATGTGGATCCTTTGTCCATGGAAATTGCAGGGCGTTAGAACATCAACCGGCGCGGCCGCCATTGGGGCTGCTTGAACAGAGCAGAGAGCGCAGAGGAATGGACTCACCGTGGCAAGGTCGGCGATGCAGCGGCAGCATGGGCGCGGTGGTGCCGACGCCGGCCGTTGTGGAGGGCGTGGTGCCGGGTGCGGCGAAGCCCCCGCGAGATCTGCGCGGATAGCCGGGAGTCGGGTGAGGGAAACGCCGGTCCCGGCCGGATTGAGGCGAACGGAAGAGTGGGGGGAAGGGGATTCTACACGGGGTTTAACGGAAAATAATCCTATGAGACCAGGTCTCACGGTTTAGCAGGTGAGACCCATTCTGATGGATGACACGTGGTATTCACAAATCACAAAGCATCTATCCCACCCCCCACCTGAAATTTGGGGGGAGAGATTAGATGCTTTGTGATTTGTGAATACCACGTGTCATCCATCAGGGCGGGTCTCACCTGCTTTATATGAGACCTGGTCTCATATAATTTTTTTCCGGGTTTAACCGACCCCTGCCTTAGGGATCAGGGATCGGTTTATGGGAGAATCCCCGAATTCTGGCAAAAGAACCGGGTCTTATTTGGGGTTCAAATAAGGCTGGTTACATGGAAGAAGCAAGGCCGATCCGAACGCGACGACCAGTGAACGTTTTGTGTGGTTTTTGACTGTTCGGGTCGGTGAAGGGGTTGGCCGGCGTCTTCATTTTGGCAGGGCGCCCAACCAGTCGACCCATTTGGTCCGTCGGCCGTTTTGTTTTGTCTTTTCTTACCAAAATTTCAACAATTTACATTTTACGTATACAAATACAAATAAAAAGATCGATAGATTTTAGACATCAAATAAATAGTTCACAACCAAATAAAATTGAAATTGTCATAAATTGTCCACATATGCTCAACCAAATTATTTTGAACTTGAATGTGAGTTGCACAATCACGCATTTCATGATGAAATTGGATAAACTCTGTAAACGTTGCTAGTCCATCCGCAGGCTCTACATTTTCACCTTGGTAATCTAACCCTTGGTCATAGATGTTGGCATCATGCGATCACAGAAGCAGTCATCATATTTCACATATTGCATTGGCTCCATGCCCTAGCAGGGTACCGAACAATAGCCCATCGAGATTGGAGCACACCGAAGGCACGCTCCACATCTTTCCCAGCACTCTCTTGTGCTTGTGAAAGTCTAGCTCGCTTCTCTCCTGGAGATTGTTTTTACAAGAGTTGACCACTAAGGATAGATACCGCCAGCTAGGCAGTATCCCTTGTTGTAGTGGTGGCCACTGACCCCAGGGCAGTTATCTTCTGCAAACCATGCGGACAAAGACCGTTGAAGCACGTTGACATCATTGTGAGAACCTGTCATGCTGAAGAAAGAGTGTCAAATCCAGAAGTCTTATGATACCACGGTTCAAGTATGACCATGCAAGCTTTAAATTGCCCCTTATACTACTCCTGCCAAGCAAATGAATAATTCTTGCACTTTCAGTGCATATAATCTATGCTACCTAGCATTCCCAGAAAGAACCTAGATTCATTGATCGCCAACACCAAGGTTGTATCTGCAACATTTGGTTCTCTCAAATACTCCGAGCCAAACATAACAATCATAACTTTGCAGAACCTATACAATGATTGAAGGCATGTGGACTCACTCATCCATGCATACTCATCAAGAAGATCACCAGGAATTCCGTATGCAAACATCCGGATAGTCGCAGTGCATTTCTCATAAGAGGAGGAGCCAACCCTTCCGTGGGAACCATTCTTGCATCTTAAATAATCCGTACTCCACCACTCCCTCTTGGATACAGTTGAACACATGTCTAGCCATCCAAAAAGCATCACCGAAAAAGCTTGACATTATAGAGTGGGGACATGCACTAGGAATAATCGTTGTAGAGTAGGCAATGGCCACTCTCCCTATTATGATTCAAGGACGGAGCATGGCTCGGGATTGACCCCCTAAACATTGGCCACATCCTAGAAATGTGCTCATTGACGACCATAGTAGTAATTACAAAAGTCCTTTAAGATATGATTGAAACATTTTGCTTATATGAATTTTATTAATGATTGATGGTTCATGTTAAACATGTGACATTTCTATTTTTGATGTCAAATTAAGGTTATTTATGTAACTTATACCCCCGCTCCCCAAATACAATTTTTTTTGTCAATCCTTGATGAAATTAATGAGGGGCTAAGTAGGAATATCGTTAACAAATCTGTATTGGAAGTGTAAATAGACTTGCATTTGGGTGAAGATGAAAAACTTGCTTGTGCTTATGCTATCAACACGGCAGGTATCAACTACTATTTTTGTTCAAGCTTCATTAGTCATTACTTTTGATTTGTCTCCAAGAACACGAACCAATGGGACACACAATGGTAAAATTGTTACTACAAAAAAAGCTGGTTTACAAAGATTTTAAAATATTAGATCTCTTGCTTATATTATTGGCATCTCCATTTCTTCCCGGACCACTTCAGCGGCGCTTATAATTAACTAAATGGGACAACAACAGTTGTTGTTGTCATTGCAGAAAGCCTCGGGGACCGGCGACATGTTGCCGCTGCCACAGAACCTCTTGCAGCTCTCGTCGGTGCAGTTTGGGAAGTATTTGGAGTAGCACGAAGCCGGCAGGGGAAAAGCACGGGGTTTATCCATCTGCATATGGGTGTAAAGAAACAAATGGTTAAAAAAATGTATAGATTCGATCTCCAATCTGAAAAAAAGATTGCTTCATCGTCTGATCTTAACAGCGACATTGCAAATTAAATAGAAAATTTTAAGTGATTAACCTTTTTGTCGGCGTCGCATGAGGAGAAAAGAAGGGTGGCAGCCATGACCACCATGAGGGCGGCCACGAAGCAGCACAGGGCGCTCGTGTTCTTCTTCAGCATCGCCATATGTATAGTACAGGAGGAGGCTAACTACACTTTGCGTACGTACAGTTCTTCTTTTCCCTGTGTTGTTCTTTGTGATTTGTGTGTGTTTATATAGACCCGTGAATACATTGGTGTGTGCCTGCCTAGCTATAAGCATGAATTAAATGTTTTATTAATGCTTTAATTCAAGTAACAAATAAATGGATATATATCCTTTTTTACGGGAATGGATGTATATGTTGTGTATGGACAAGTGGATAGCTACTGCATGGATGCTAATGGAAGAACTTACTAATTGTGATTATTAGTACTTATCTTTGACAATGATTTTTATTCAAATTTAAGAGTGACCTAAAATGTGTTATAAAAGTTTACAGACAGATTATATTTTTAGCTGCTAAATATGCTAGAGTACGGAATACTCCTTGCACATTTTCATTTGAGAATCATTACTTCTTGCAGTTGTTGCCTCATGGGCTAACCCACAGAATACAGGTGCTGCTGTGTATGCTCAGAGCGAGTGGTACCGCTCGCGTCGCTCGCTCCGGGCCTGTCCCAGCGAGCCAGTGCAGTATGTTTTTGTTTGTCAATTCTTTTCTTTGGTCCCTCTGATTTATAATTTTGAAACAAATCATGACTATAATAAAAAATTAAATTAAAAAAGTTCACATAAATTTCAAAAATATTTCTGAATTCAAACAATGTTCTTGTATTCAGAAAATGTTCATGAATTCACTTATTTTTTTGAAATTCAATTTTTTTCATCAATTCAGAAATTATTCAAGATTTCTGAAAAATATTCACAACTAAAAAGAGTTTGAGTATTAGAAAAATGTAGATGAAAATTCAGAACTACTCATGTGAATTCAACAAATGTCCCCTAAAAACTTTTGAAATACTGAATTGTTTTTGGAAAAATAACATTCGAAAAAATTATGAAATTTTCTGAAATTTAGAACAATTTTGGAAAATATATTTTTGTAGTTGTGACCAAAATTTGAAGTTTTAAGCATTTTTAAAAAAATGAGCATATTTTGAAAAATGAACATGTTTTGTAAATTTAGTTTTTTTGTCAAAATATGAAGAAAATTGAAAATTTGGAACAGTTTTTTAAAAAATGTTATTTTTTCAAATGTCTTTGAACAATCTGGATATTCCGAACAATTTTGGAAATGTGAACAATTTTGAAATTTGTGAACATTATTTAATACTATGAATATTTTTTTAAAGTTATGAAAATTATTTGAAATTGTGAAGAATTTTTAAAAAATCCGAAGAGTTTTTGGAAGGTAAGGAAATTAATAGGTAGCTTACTCTCACTGTGGCTAGCCTAATAGTGAACATTCGAAGACACGGTGGAGGAGGAGCCCACGCTAGCATCTAAGTTAGTGTTTCGACGGGCATAGAAAGAGCAGTGATACAATCTCTTCCTCCTCAAGTAGCACCGGCTAGCGAAGGGCGAGATCTACAGCGAGCGCACAAGCGTGGAAGCCGTGGCAGCCATGGTCGCAGCGAACCCAAACTTCGTTGCCGAGCAGTAGGCGCTCTACGAGGCCGCCCGCGCTCAATCTGCCGCTCGCAATACACATGCAACACAGCAGGACACGAAGGTCGTGCTGGCTGCGCTGGCGATCGCGGACGAGAACACTACCAGCTACGCGTTCTATGCGCCGCCAAACACTGCTCGACCATGCCGGCGAGATGATGAGTGTCGGCCCCTCCACTTCCATCGTGGGCCTCATGTCCACCAGCCACAGATAGGTCGCAGACACCGACAAGGATGAGTAGGGCATGGGAGGTGGCCGGGTATTGTGTCCCAATTCGGCCGGTCTATCTCCCATGTTTTACTCTTCCCCCGCGACGACCGCACCTTCACTTCGCGGGTACTCATGGAGACAGTAGTTGGATGACCCATTCGTAGGAAGGGAACAACAAGGACTTGGACAACGGACGCTGCTGTAAGCTAGGTTTAGGTCCGGTCCCCCTTTTTCTTAATGAAAATTGTCTGAAATGTAATGAATTTCGTCTGCTTTGTATATATGAAAATAATCCGATTTGCTTGTAGTTCGTCTGGTTTATAGAAACTCAGCTTGAAATGTATGCAGATAGCTTTGGATGGTCGTATCCTGCGTCTGTGTCTGCGGACTCCACCCCCCCC